CTCAATAAAACTTGCGGAAAACCTGAAATGGCTTCTGAACAGCCCACTGTTTTAAGTAGGGGTGTTCATATTCGATCCAATCTAATTGATCTGAGTTAAATTGATCCAATCTAATAAAAAACTAATCTAAAGCAATATAAAATTGAGTTGGTTTGAATTATAAAATTTTAAAATCGATATAATTTGTTTGATTTGTGGTTTTACCTTCAAAATGTCTGAATTGCCTAATTACAAAATAAAATCCGATTACAAGATAACTTAATTAAATAATATAATATATTTTTTGTAGTATTTTAAAATTTCTTTTTTTTATATAATATTATAACTTCATTAATTTACAATTTTTTTATTAAATAATTAATTATAATGCTTAAAAATATATATTTATAAATTACTTTTAATTAATTAAATAATAATTATTAATTATTATTAATTGTCCAGTATCAAGTGACCTAGCGACCGCTCACTTGAAAGTGTGTGACTAAATATTAATGACCTAAATTCCTTTTTTAGGTCTTACTTTCTCTTTTTTTTGAAAAATTTTTAAAAAATAAAAATAATTATTATTAATTATTTAATTAAATATTAATTATTTTTAATCATTAAGTTAAATGAAATTAATATTTTAAAATTAATATAACATAATTGATAGTAAACATTCTATCGATTATATACTTATTTAATTAATATTTATAATCGATAACTTTTATACTTATGTAATCAATAAAAGTTTTGTCAATTAAAATTTTTGGCAATTATATGATAAAAAGATCTATATAATTGACACATTCTCATAATCGACAAAGTTTTTTCAATTATTTGAGTATAATCAACTGTTATTTAGTTATTGATTATATTTTGTTAATTAAATGCTGCTCTTTAAAAGTGTTAATTATTTAAATTATAAGTAATAATTATTAATAATTAAATATTGACTATCAACCATATATCTAAACTACTAATTACTCTAAACACTCCTATTAATTAATGGTTCCTTAACATTTAAAACAAACGAAAGCATAATATTGTTTTTTTTTTTTTACGTAAAGAATTTATATAGGATATCAAGTAAACTGC